TCTATACCATTATCTAAATAATCAACGAAGATATTGAACCAGACTACACGCAGGCCCAGTCCCCATGGCACTCCACTTGATATGCCCTTCTAGTTTGACATTGATAACTATCTCCAGGAAAGGTTTTCCAATCAGTTATGCATCCAAGTTGTGTTTCTCTGGTTCATTTATGAGAAGGGCAAGTGATACAGACTCACATTTACCACTTCCCTCCATCCACAAGGCTTGTTACCTGGTCAAAGAAAGCTACCAGGTTGGTTTGACACAATTTGTTCTTGACAAATGCAGGTCAGTTTTTACTTACCAGCTTATTATTTTTACTTGTTTGTAAATTATTTACTTAATTATTTCCTCCATTATCTTTCCAGATACTGAAATTAAGCTGATTGATCTGTAATTCCTGGGTTGTCCTTATTCCCCTTTTAATAGATTATCTCTGTATTTACCCTTTTCCTGTCCTCTGGACCCTCTCATTGTCCATGACTTATAGAAGATAATTTCTAATGGCTCAGATACTTCCTCAGTCATCTGCTTGAGTATTGTAGCATGTACTTCATCAGGCCCTAGAGACTTGAAGATATCTAAATTGTCTAAGTAATTTTTAACTTGTTCTGTCCTTGTTTTAGCTTCAGATACTACATCACTTTCAGAGCATTCACTATGTTGGATATCCAGTCACTACTAAGCTTTTTGGTGAAAAATGAAACAAAAAGTTCAGCTTGTCTGGCATTTCCACGTTTTCTGTTAATGACTCCTTGATGGCCTCACTTGTCCTTGATCTTCCTCCTGCTTCTAATGTATTTGTAGAATGTATTTTTGTTATCCTTTTGTCTCTAGTTTAATCATATTTTGTACCCTGGCCATTCTAATTGTATCCCTCCCATGCTTATTTGTCTTTTATTATTTGAACTAGTTTCCACTGTTTGTTGGACTCTATCTTGAGTTTCAGATCATTCAGATCTCCTGGTTAAGTGATGTGTGGTTTTAATAATCCTTTCTATCTTTTCTGTGCAGTGGGATAGTTGATCTTGTGCCCTTGAACTATTTTTTCCCCTTAGACTTGCTTCCCATGAGCTCTTGTCTACCAGCTCCCTACGTTTGCTAAAGTCTGTCATCTTAAAACCATCATCTTTGTTGTGCCGTTTTCCCACCATTCATGATCTTACAATTTCATGATCACTTTCACCCAAGCTGCCTTCCACTTTCTAATTCTCAATCACTACTTATGTCAAAATCAAATCTACCACAGCCTCTCCCATAGTGGATTTCTCCACCTTCGGGAACAAAAAGCAGTCCCCAGTACATTTCAGGAACTTGTTGGATAATCTGTCTTCTGTTGTATTATTTTCCCAATGGGTATCTGCGAAGTCCCCCATTGAGTGTGAGTCCTCATACTCTGATTCACATGAATGGTATGATTTTTATAATGACCCGTACAGATGAGGTGGTAACACTGATGTTGACGGGAACCATTTTTACCTTTTGACCACATTTGCTGTTCAGCTTAGTTGTATTTCTTAAAGTGTGTACATGCTGAAAGAAATTGGATATACATAAACTGTGTGGCGCACAGTAGAAGTATTGACTTCAAATTCACTGGGATGTTCTTCCTTTTATAGGAGACCTTTCGTAAGTGTAAAGCTCTGTTAGTCTTTTGAAAATAAAAAGAATAACTACCAGTTTTATAGCTCTGGTTGTGGTGACATGCTTGCCCTAAGTGAGAGAGCTGCTTGGGAATGAGAACCTCACCATGTGCTCAGACACACGGAAGCCAGACTTGCAGAACGCTGAGTGCCTTGTTTAAAAGAGCTGACTGCAGACTTCAATAACCTTTCCCTTTTTTACACCGAAAGGTGTAGTTACTCTAGCTGAGTAAGAGAGTCCAGACCATATGTGCACAGTAGTTAGAGCTCAGAGTAATATAAACCGGACTTCTTTTGGTTTGGAATAGAGATTTCTGCTCTTTTGTCCAAATGAAAGTTGTCATGGCAACATGCCAGAATGCTGGCAGCTACCCTGCTTGCAGTATAGAAGTGTGGCCTGCAAGAACTACAGGCCCCAGCAAGCTTTGATTAGATTCCAGCAGGCACTGGTGCATTTTCATTTAAGCACCTTTGTTGCTTACATGAAGATGGGCTGTGCTTCGGTATTCTTGTGCAATGATAATTGGACTAAAAGATATTTGAACATGTAAAATAAGCTGATGTTGCCTGGGAGCAGATCTGTTGAGTTGGAAATATACTCACTTTTCTCACCTTTAATGGAGTTCTGGCACAGAGCATGAGTGTGTATTTTAATGTGCAAAACAAACTGATTTTGATGGGAACAGATCTTTGCTCACCCTGATTTATCCTCTGGCACTGGCAGCCAGGTTGTTCATCGGGTGATTTTTTTTTACCATGCAAAAGTGCTGTGATGGCAGAGTGTTTAGATACTTTAGTGACCGGTGGTACACACATCCTATGTAGACAGACAAATTTAAAATGATTTGATAAGGATGTCACAGTAAGACCGATGAGTGCCACCATCAGTGTAATGGTGTTGCTGAATTTCACCATCTTGCAGCATAATTCAGGTGGTGCACCTGCCGCACAGCAGTTGGTACCAATTTCACAGCATTCTGAGCCCAATGTCTTACTTTCAGCCTGCATTTCCATGTCCCTGGCAAAGCCCAAATAAATCTGTTAGTCTCTAAGATGCCCCAGGACTCCTGGTTGTGTTTGCAGATACAGACTCACATGACGACCCCTTTGGAACTTGCTTTCAACAGTTAGGGTGGGTTTTTGGGGGGTTTTTTGTTTGTTTTTTGAGGCAAGGAGTTATAATTGTTGGGCCTCCGGTTTAATGGCCTCATTGATATCCTCCTCTTTGTCTTCCTTCCCTCTTCTGTGCTACACTTACGCTTGGAATTCCTTTTCTTTGATGCAGAGACCCATCTTCTCTTCATTCACATCTTTGTTAAATTTCCATCATTTGCATATATTTTAATGATCTGTGACAGACAAAAATTTGTTTTAAATTGCGGCATTGTGCATTTGAACTCTCATCAGATCCACTAATGCGCCACGTAGGAATGCACTGCTTGTCCGTTTCACAGTCTCAGCTGAGGTAGACAGTGGGCTGGCTACAGGCCAAATTTGGACTGTTATATGATTTTGAACAGACTGAAATCTTTTTATTGCTTACTGGTATTGTTATATTGCTTTTTTCTCTGGAATCTGGACTTTGACTATACCTTTGGACCTTGACAAAAGTATCTGTCTGTACACCCGTCTGCTACACTGTAGAGCGCAGATAAGAACAGCCATATTGGGTCAGACCAAAGGTCCATCTAGCCCAGTATTCTGTCTTTCGACAGTGGCCAATGCCAGATGCCCCAGAGGGAATGAACAGAACAGGTAATCAAGTGATCCATCCCCTGTCGCCCATTCTCAGCTTCTGAGAAACAGACGCTAGGGACACCATCCTGTATGTATGATGTAAAATTTAGTGTTGTATCTCATTCAGGCATCCAGTTTAAAGTCATTTTCACTGCAAACAGTAATGTACCCCTCAAGTAGATTTTGCATTGGTTTTGAAAAAAGTAGAAATTAGAAGATTTTTGTTAACCTTTTGCTGCTCACTCCAAAAGACTAGCAGACATAAAATTGGTATTGCTTCCCCATGTTATTGTATTAGATGGGATATATTGTACCAGTTAGTGCAGCATACACATTTCTCTATCTGACTGCACTCAGATGGAAAACTAAGGCTAAGCCAGGCCTTGTCTAAAATAACTGAGAGGTTTGGAATTTGAAACACCCCACATGAAAACTCTCAATTATCATTTATGAAAAAACATATTCTCTGAAATATGGTATAAAGCATGGAAAAATGGGATCTGGGCCCTTTTATCCTTCTATTATTTCAGGAATGTGTGTGCTAGTACCCATCCCCCAAGCCCTGCTCCTTCCCCTCTCCCCCTCCCCCATTGCACCCTGTCCCCTGAGGGATGTGGCTTTGAGGGAGATTACTGGGGGTGGGGGCTGGCATGAGTTGGCAGCAGCACAGCACCGCCACCCCACTCCCCTGCACATTCCGCTGCTGCTGCCCGAGGCCCTCTCCTTCTGGAACAGGATGCAATGTGGGAGAGGGTTGGTGGTGGGGAGGGGTGCCGATCCCCCCCTTCTCTGTCTCCTGAGCCAGATTGCGAATTGCCCGAGACCACAGACAGCTTTTCGACTATGAGTTTGAGACCCCAGATTTACTGTTTATGTGGTATATAAAAAAGCCTGAAAGGCCTGTACTGTTTTTGTTTTTAATTCTGCTTGTTTTTGCATTGAATTTGGGTGTTCCCTAGTTTAGAGAACTCTCCCAGGTGGCTGGAGAAATAAATGACATGCCAAAGGAATCTTGAGAGCAGAATCAGCTTTTTGTCAATAGTTAGCTTATAGGTAATATTCTCTCCTGAAAACCTGTAAAACCTGAAAACATGTAACTAGGCCCTGGTCTACATTAGGGAGTTATTTCGAAGTAACTCCTCTTATTTCAAAATAAGCAGAGTGTCCTGTCCGCACTACCAAGCCTATTATTTTGAAATAACGGGCTGGTTATTTTGACATCTTCAATTGTGGCCTTGGAGTTCACTTGGAAGTCCAGCTAAACATTGATGTGCCTGGTGTATATAAAGCAAAAACCAAGCAGAAGAAAAAACTTTCAGGCCCTATTTGTATGTTTTGATAGAAGAAAAAATAGGCAGAGGCCAATTAATGGTGTAGTAGTTAAACAAGAACTGGGCAACTAACCTCAACTAAATGCCATCTTCTCCAAATGCAAATCAGGTAAACTCCATTTACCCTGAACTACACTCCTGAGCCCAGTGGTTTTAAAATCCTTTGCGATAAACTTTAAAATAGACTTTGAATCAGGCCTGATGTGTGTAGGTGTTTTTGGTGGCAGTTCACTGCTGAGCAGGTCTTGTTTATTACAGAAGTTGACTGAATTCTCCTTTGACATTTCAGGCCCTGCGGTTGTCCCTCATCAGTATTATGGAGTTACTCCCTGGGGAGTTTATCCTGCCAGTCTCTTCCAACAGCAAGCCGCAGCAGCAGCTGCTGCAACTAACTCAGCAAATCAGCAAACCACTCAACAGGGACAACAGGGACAACAACAGGTGAGTGGTGGCGTTTTGCAGGTACAGTTGGCACCTGGGATTTATATAAGTATGCTCATGTGTTAATAATTGCTCTTTCTTATGACAAAACTTGAACATACATATGATGCAGTTGGTTCAAAAGACCTTGCTCTTTAAAATAGAGGAGAGACTATTACCTATAAGCTAACTATTGGGATCACACAATTCTTTCCATGTTTGGAACTTCCTGTGTGCGTCAGTTCTGGCAGAATATAACGTGCCAAACAGACCAGTCAAAAGTGAAAGAAGGAAACTTGAAAAATAGCTTTTTGCTGCTTCATCTATCTGGCTAACCACATGTTAGAAGTTGTAACTAGTAGAACAGTAGCATAGAAGTGTTAGTTCTTGTTTCACTTCCACCACACAAAGGGGATTAGTGAGGAAGCTGTTGGCAAGTATAAGCAAGATAATTTTTTAAAAGTGTCTATGTTCCAACCAAAAAAAACCACATTAATAAGAATTAAAATTATGAGAAGCAGGTTTGATGAGATTTGTGTTTAAAAAAAAAAAAAAAAAAACTGCATTGGGAATAAGATGTTTCCATTACATGATAATACTGTAACCAAGTTCTGTTGACTATCTGAAGCTGTAACAGTTTTAATATAATGGAAGCAGCTTAACCTAAACTCATTTTTTTCCATGCTGATGCGTTTCCCAATTTGTATTTGAGAAGGAAGGACAAGCTTTCTTCCTGTGCAAACACAGATTGCTTTAACATTTGCCCAATTTTAAAAAAACTAATATTCTTAAGTTTGTGTAATAACTGTCCGCCCGTTTTCCCTTCGTTCCCTGTAAGGTTTAGAAAACAAGCAAATGTACTAACATTTCCATTTCCCAGTTCTGAGGCAAAAGAGCTTTAAAGTTGCTTTTCTCCTTCTTCCTCACATTCTCAGCTGGCATTAACACTGCAAACCAGGGTGCTTTTGCTGCCAATGGTGAAGTTTGCCAGGCTTGTAAATCCTCTGCAGTTCATATGCATGCAGTACCTGGGCACAAAGGAAGAGCTCATTTGGCTTAGCGTAAATCTTAGTTAAGATTTTGTCACCTTTTTTTGTAGTAAAGTAATGGACAAGCCATGGGCAATAAACTAAAATAAACGGAAGCTCATGAACTGTCTGACTTTCACTGAAAATAATGGAGGGTGGGAGAGGCACCAACCAGGAGATGACCAGCCCAAATGAGAGGGAAGGGATCCTAAGCCCCACGGCAGGCTGGGAGGGAGAGGAGAGTCCAGCACCCACTGCTGCAACAGACAACAGCTCCAGGGGCCTCCACTGCAGCCCCAGAAGCTCAGAGGTTTGGGGTCTCCTCTCAGTGTCTGGAGCTGGAGAGGAAAATGTCTCAAAGATCTCTGAAAGCCATGGAATCTATGCTCCCCATGGCTTAATCTTATCCTTACTTATCCCATATGTTTCACAAACGTGGTATTCCCTAAACTTGACTTTTTGTGTGTTCCATTCCTTTCTTATGATGGTGTTTAAGAGCTTCAAATCCTCCTTAGAAGTGTAGGAGAGTTCAGATAAGTCATATAACCATCTGGATCCCTTAGGTTTATTATAAGTATTTATGATGACTCTAAGGGCTTGTCTGCACAAGGGCACTCAAAAATAGTTTAGTTACACCACATTGAACCCCTATGGACTTTGTTAATCAGAGTCAAAGTGACCTTAATTCAATTTCATTTGATTCACTTTGAAAATGAGTTAATTTAAGCTAAAGTTCAAAATGAATAAAATGAAATAATTTTTTTTACACCAGCATAAAATTAGCCCGAAATTCTACTGCAGGACAATATTGAGGCAGGTGATTTTGTGATTTAACCAGTGTTCATAGAACTAAGCACAACAGTAATGGGGATGAATTAGCGAGTGAATCATCAGTTGGGATCAGAAGAAATTTCCCCATTGTAATACTGCAAATAAGATGCATAATGCTTATATCTTCTCTGAAGCAATTATGACTTGATCCTTGTCGTAGAGAGGATTCTCAAGTAGTTGGATCATTGTTTTGTTCCAGTATTACAAATAATTTGTCATAAAAATGCCCATTAACACCAATTTTTAATACAGCAGGACTTGAACCATAAAGAGAATTAGACCATTTTAAGAACTCTTCCTAAATTAGCTAAGTTATGAATGTGAAGTACACACTAGTGCTTTAAAATGAATATTTCTTAATAGTAACAACCTTTATTAGACACAGATGAGGTGAGTGTGAAAGTAGTCTCTTACAAGCAGGTGAGAGTGATAGATGAAAATGAGTCAAAGTACTGATCTAATGTGATGTGGAATGATAGTTAAATTAAATTGTCACTTAAGGTGGTTTTTCATTGTAGTGAAGTGAAGAGCATTGGAAGTGGTCTACAATTGTACGGAAGCCCCAAAGAGTTAGCTTAATATTCAACTCAGTATTTTCTGTTTCAGAAGTCACTTCCAGAATGATGTTATAACAAATTTAAAATTGTTCCGTCGTTGCTAAACTCTCCCAGCTCAAGATGACGATAAAAGGGCTTCTGGTGGCACCATAGTTCATTTGTAGTCATCACTGCCATTGGGACATGAATCTCTGCCCCCTTGTTTTATGCCTCAAAAATGCATGCTAAGATGAATTTCAAGCTGTGCGCCAGCCTCACATTTATTTACCTGAAACTTCTGTGCATCTCCAGAGATTGCAAGTTAGAAGTCATTGTGGTTTGAGCCTGCTATAATGATTTCAGCGTTAGTTCTGAACTAAGCACCAACTCAGGCTGCACATAGTTGTAACAGACTGTCTCTTATGATACTTCAAGGCTAGAAACAGCATAAATCTGTCATACTGCTGGAAATCCCAGAGGTGCCATCTTTGCAGTGCTATAAAGCTTCTGATTTCTAGCACTTGCAGGTTGTGAGATACCAGACCTTACATGCTCTTTCTACATATCTTCCCCACGATATAGCTCGTAACTGGACTTAACAGCTGCTGTTTCTAGAACTGCTAGAATCAGAAATGAATGCTCTGTACCATCTTAAAGCCCTTCCAGATAAAATTAAGCAATAATTTGATTCTGGACAAATAATCAGAAAGAGACCATATGACTGCTGACAAAGTTAGTCTTCAAACCGCCACCTCTGCCAAGTCACCAGCATATGCAGATTGAATTGAGCTTCCACATTTACACCAAGGAATACGTGTACAGGTAAAGCAGAAGCAGCTATGTATAATAGACATGCCACTTGAGGTATGCATTCACCGTTGGGCTGAGCTCTATATGGAAGTTATGTGCTGAAATGATTTCTGCAGTAACTGTAGGTTGGTTCAAAACCCATCTATTCTATATCTAACGTATGGTATCTTCCACTATTTTTACAGCCCCCAGAGTGGGCAAAGTGCTTTAGATGTACCAGTGTGTACGTATTTTGAATGCAAACATTTCTTCCCAGTGAGGCAGACTGCATTTCTGAGGGAAACCCTCCCAGATACTCCCTTGGAAGAAGTGACCCTCACATGTTGCTGTGGTTTTTCAGAAGAGATTTTCATTTTCAAATAACGGTCTTGCGCTCATTCCCTTGCACTTCAGCGGCTTTCAAAAGTATGGTGATGACGACACACTTGCCCTCACTGAGAGCGCTGTTCGCTAATGAGAACTTTGCGAAGTACTCGAAGAGCTGAGCCAGCACTTTTGGAAACCTACTAGAATTATGTATATGGACATTTTCTCTTTGGTGCTTAGGATGGTGGAAAAGGGAGGGTGGATTCATAAAAATAGAAGTATTTCACTTCCTGTGACACCTCTTCCATTATCCATATTCAGTCCTTTGCACCAGCATTGTGCATGCCCCAAGGTTCGGTTCTGGGCCTTGATGAGGGGATGGATTGTACCCTCAGCAAATTACGCTAAGCTAGGGGGAGAGGTAGATACACTCGAGGGCAGAGATAGGGTCCAGAGTGACTTTGACAAATTAGAGGATTGGGCCACAAGAAATCTGATGAGGTTCAACAAGGACAAGTGCAGAGTCCTGCACTTGGGACGGAAGAATCCCAAGCATTGTTACAGGCTGGGGACCAACCAGCTAAGTAGTAGTTCTGCAGAAAAGGACCTGGGGGTTACAGTGCATGAGAAGCTGGATATGAGTCAACAGTGTGCCCTTGTAGCCAAAAAGGCTAATGGCATATTAGGTTGCATTAAGAGGAGCATTGCCAGCAGATCCAGAGATGTCATTATTCCCCTTTATTCAGCTCTGGTGAGGCCACATCTGGAGTATTGTGTCCAGTTCTGCGGCCCCCACTTCTAAAAGGATGTGGACACATTGGAGAGGATCCAGCGGAGGGCAACCAAAATGATTAGGGGGCTGGAGCGTATGACCTATGAGGAGAGGCTGAAGGAGTTGGGTCTGTTTAGTCTGCAGAAACGAAGAGTGAGGGGGGATTTGAGAGCAGCCTTCAACTTCCTGAAGGGAGGTTCCAAAGAGGATGGAGAGAGGCTGTTCTCAGTAGTGACAGATGGCAGAACAAGGAGCAATGGTCTCAAGTTGTGGTGGGAGAGGTCCAGGTTGGATATTAGAAAAACTATTTCACTAGGAGAGCGGTGAAGCACTGGAATGGGTTACCTAGGGAAGTAGTGGAGTCTCTATCCCGAGAGGTGTTTAAGTCTCAGCTTGACAAAGCCCTGGCTGGGTTGATTTAGTTGGGATTGGTCCTGGCAAGAGCAGGGGGCTGGTCTTGATGGCCTTCTGAGGTCTCTTCCAGCTCTATGGTTCTATGAGATCACTGCAGCTGTTGAAATTGGAGATGTGTCATGAAAATTTGTTAACTCTCTCTTCTCTCTGTTGGTTCATTAAGTAATTATTAGTTTCTAATATCTTTCTGTGTAATCTGTTATTGTAAAATGTCTGGAATGTGTGTGGCACCAAGTGACGGCTTTTAATAAGCTGAAAACTCACAAGTGGGTGCACACTTTGTTACAATTTGCATAGTCGATTTTTAACAGATAAACCACAGAGCATCAGTGTATCAGGTGCTTTAACCGCAAGGGCAACATTTAAAAGACATTGTGTGATCTTGTTATTTAAGGGGTCTTTGTTTCACAGATGGGGGAAAAAAATCAATTCAAGCCACCTTGTCTGACTAAACTATAGGAACTAAACCAAGTATATAATCATTTTTGCTGAAGGTGGTAGGATTTAAGTGTAGTTTTTATGTACCTCAGTAGCCATATGTGTTATCTTCAGGAGAATAAATACCAGTAACCATCCTTTCCCGGGGGCAGTGACTCTTAAAGATTTGTTTAAAATGTTGGATGTCAGAGATGTATGTGAACAGGAATGAAAAGGTCAGGGGGTGAAATTTTTCCAGGTCACCCCAGTAAATTTGATAGGGGCATCTTTAGGCATTTGTACCCTTTTAACATCAAGTCTTGTGAATGTAACACCTCAGTGTGTATAAGGATTTGTAACTGAGAAGAAGTCACACATCTCATGCCAATTTGGAGGTTGTACTCTTAACTAGAGACACAAGGTAGGTGAGGTAATATCTTTTATTGGATCAACTTCTGTTGTTGACAGAGGCAAGCTTTGAGCATGAATGGGGTGGTTCTATAGGTGATCTGAAAGCTTTAGTGACAGCTTGTCTCTGACAGAAGTTGGTCCAATAAAAAATATTGCCTATTGGTTTTTCTGATGTCCTTTGCTGTATCCATGGCTACAACACTGCCTACAGCACTTAGCTTGACTGTTTGTGAAAGTTTATATAGAAATGTTTTTAGTTATTTTGACTTGTATGCCGGTCTCAAAGCAGACAGACTAGTAAACAATCTTTTTTTCTCGCTCAGGTTCTCCGTGGAGGAGCTAGTCAGCGTCCTTTGACCCCAAATCAAAACCAGCAGGGACAGCAGACTGATCCACTTGTGGCAGCTGCAGCAGTGAACTCTGCTCTTGCTTTTGGACAAGGCCTGGCAGCAGGGATGCCAGGTATGGTCTCTTGTCAACTCCAGTTAAGCTACTATGTGCACTAGATAGACCACCACGATTTTTCTTTGAACCAACTATGCTGTCAGACAGTTTAAATTGCTTGTGAAAAAAATACACGTTAACTCCTGTACTGCTTTACTTTCTTAGGGTACAGTTTAATTTTCTGTGAAGTCAGAAGAGAATACATTCAGTAGTTGGGGAGTTTCAAAAAATTCATGACTTCTGTTGCAATTCAAGATTTGGGTCTTTATTGTATCTTTATGGATCTTTGCCTTGGGTGAAATCCTGGCCACATGAAAGTCAGTTGCAATACCCTGTCATGCACTTTAATGGACCTAGGATTTCACCCTCATGTAGCTAATGCCCAGATGTTGTGTAGATGGTAGAGGCTTAAAACAAAAAATTATAAATTAAGTTGTGTAATGTGGTTTGTCAGAGGCTCCAATGCACAGTTTTTATTTATGCATTGGAAGCTAATAAGGACGCTCCCAAATTGCTGAGAATTTAATTTTTCACTATATTGGCCTTTTGTGGAGCCTGGCTAAGTTGACACCTTTTTTCCTCAGTACCCCACATGGTCACTCCCCAATAACTGTTCACATGGAGGTACATACAGGTTCCTCACTGTCAAAAACATGGAGGGCTGCAAAATACGAGCTCCCAGTCTATTAGCTGTGGCCTGCAAGATTGTAACAAGCTCTTGGGTTATAAATTTCAGTATTGTATTCTACTGTGTAAAGTACACAGGCCATTATTGACATGTTAAAAGGATGTAAGCGTGTGGTGGTGCTCAGAATTCGATTAAATCAGGACTGGGGGGCCTTTTTTGGCTCAGGGCCACACACAAGTGAGAAGTGCAAAAAAAAACTACCACCAAAAAACCCCTCACTGAGGCAGCCCCCAACTGAGAAGGAGAGACATTCTCCACATTCCCCTTCCACACCAGAACCTTGGGGGGCCCAGGCGAGTAGATTTTGTGTGCTCCAACCCTGTGCAGGGGAGTGGGGCTGGACTCCCAAATGCTGGAGGGAGCCCCGAGCCTCAGGGACCAGATCCAGGCAACCCTGGGCCTTAGGTTTCCCGCCCCTGCATTAAATGAATGTTCTGTAGCATTTCAGTCTGAAGTCTTGTACTAGGGAATTCTGTATGGGTGTAGTCTTCACATGACTGGGAGTGTATCTGTAGAAGGCTTTATTTTGATTAAAGAGTGAAAGATAACATGCTTGTTACAAGGTGTGTTTGATTTGCATCAGCAGCCACCAGTCAAGCTTTATAATTTAGTGTTTGTGTGTGCACACATCAGCGGTTCTCAACTAGCGTCCCTATTAGCAAACAGCTGTGGCCCAACTCAGCTGTGTGTGGGCCAAGTGCCCTGCCACCCAGCCCCTTCAGGCCACAATGGTAAGTAAGTTGAGAGCTACTGGTGTATTTAAAGTGGCAGAGTTGCTCCCTTGATCGCCAGTGTGGACACAGTGATATTGGTATGAAAGGGATGTCAGCTATTGTGTACAGGCAGTCCCCGACTTACATGGATCCGACTTACATCGGATCCCTAGATACGAACGGGGTGAGGCAACTCCCGCACATGCGCAGCAGCATTCCCGGGCTCGCTCACCTGGGTCCTAGGATCCTCCTCCTCCTCGGGCCGGCTCCGACTGGGGTCCCGCAGAGCTGCCGGGCAGAGGAAAAGTGCCTCCCCACG